TACAGGCTGCTCCTGCACATTGCCCACAGGCTCTGAAGGTACAGGCTCCTCCTGCACATTGCCCACAGGCTCTGAAGGTACAGGCTGCTCCGGCATTGCTTTGCTGACTGGCACTGAAGGCGGAGGCTGCTCCGACTCCTCAACCAGTCCCGCCATCTTCTTAGTAGGGCAGAGGCGAGGTGGCGATGAAAGGTCAATGACATCTCCATGTGCAGCTGCAAGAGTCATGCCAAGTTCTTGCTGGCACCCGTGCATCGGCAGAGTGTCCATGTTATCCAGGCAAACACCTCACAAACAGAATTAAAACTAGATTGATGAACACCTCTCAGTGATACATCACACACAAACAAAATGACAAAGCTTTAGGACATTCATCCAAAGAGCTTGACTTCGCCCTTTGCATTTGCTGTTGCCCAATCATCCCCCTGTCGAGCTTGGTTTAAACAGAAAACAACAGGAACCTCTTTTCATTTTGGACCAACAGGATGGTACTTCACAGCAAACAAACCATTGTTGGAACAGTTGTTGGAACTCCCCACCGGATAGCCCGCACTTTGGACAGCGCATCTTGCACCACCGGCTTAGTGACCTCCTCCAAGCCAGGCATCGGCTCCATGGCTGGGGCTGCAGCCGTGGATGGTGCCGGGGCTCCAAATGAACTTGCCTGGGCAGTGTCCAGGGACTGGGCCACGTCCAGGCCCCACTTAACATCCTCAACCTCTTCATCAGAGCGGGCCCAAATCGATCCGAGCGAAGCCGTCAGTGCACAATCATAACCATCATCAATGCACTCACCAGTCTTCTCCCCCTCAACGGGTGTTGGTTGGGACTCGGTGGTAACAGGTGGCTGGGAGTCAGTGACATCCACTGGTGTGTCACTGATAGCTGTAGCTGTTGCCTTCGCATCAAGTGGTTCTTGGGAGTCTGGGTCTTCTGGGTCAACGATGGCGTGCAGTGCCCCTTGAGGTTGCGGCGCTGGTGCAGCACCCCAATGGAAGTCAAGGATAAACCAGAAGTTGGCAAGTCTCTCATCCTTAGCTTGCTCCAAAGGGATTGTTGATCCTACAACAAAGGTGCTTGTTCTTGTTTTATTCCATCGACCGAATTCGAAAAAGACATTACACTCTAAAACAACAAATCATGTAACTTGTGCCATGCATCCCGTGGCTTGGCAGCTCCACTGAGCCACCGTCGCAAGCCATGGGAGAACAATCTTTTCAGACCCCAAGAATCCACTGCGATGTTGGCAGCTGACATCTCCACGACCGTCAACTTGTAAAGTTTTGTCACCTCCCATCAAAGGGATTGAACTTATAGTAACTTCGAGTTGCAGGTCAAAGGAAAGAGACTCCCCACATCCCCCCACCAAGTTAAGTTGGACCAAGTTGTTTGTTTCTTCACCCCCGCCTCATCCCGGACTAAGTTGATGGGCACTGCCTGGGGGGTGTCAACCTTCCTCGTCCACCAAGAAGCCAGAATTTCCAGGGAAGCCAAGTTGAAGGTCATAGCCTCCACACTGGCCAAACCAATCAACTGGGCATTTTTCCACTGGCACACGGTTCCTGTCTCTCGAAGGCGCTGCCGGATATGTGGTTCTGCCTCCCATGTGCTTGCCAAAGATTCCCCCACAATCGCAGGGATCATGATCGACAACTGGGGGAAAACAAAGGGAATGCGGAATGCGCCTGAAACCCAAATGGCTATGAGATTCCCATCAGAAGCTCCAAGGTAGACTCACAACACATTGATCCGTCTCTTGCTGCATAAACATGCCTGTTGCACCGAGGTTGACAAGATCGCGCATGATGCGCTCATCATCGGAGTAACGAGCGCCCGCTGTGAAAAAGAAACACCAGGTCACTGCCAGGATTGGGTTGTTCAAGGATAATGGTGTTGATGGGATAGATTGTATCAGTAGTAGATGGAAGTGGATAGGCATGACGACCAATGATAAGTCTTGGAGGCGCTCAGAACCAGAGGCAGCACTAGGGTGAATACACGAGAGGACTGGGACCTTGTGGATTAGAAGACCTTTCGAAAGCTTACAAAACACGAACACATGAACATCGCTCGAAGACAATAAATGTCGCCGCCGATCTCAAAAGACAATAATTTTTGAAACAACTAAAATTTTGCAAGCTCCGGAGGCTGTAGGTATATATTATGTGTTGTTGTTTTCTGTTTCTTTTTGTTTAAATTTTTGCACGAGCTGATCCTCGATCTGGTCCATCGCGATAGCCCAAAAAGAATGCTAATGGATCCCAAACCACCAATCTATGCAATAGTTTCCTACATTGAGGTCATACCTGGTGATACCTGGTGTAGATGTAGTGACCGCCTGCAAACTAACAGTAATTAACATGGAACCTGAGAATTGACCCGTGGTTTCGGCCATTTCCTCTACAACTAAGTGGGTTGGGGGTTCATTCCATGTCAATCTGGAAAGAAAACTCTTCCAGTTCGGATGGTCTGGATGGTGCCCCCCCCCCCCACGAATGGGTCAAGAACCGTTTGCCGGTGTAAGAGTCGTAAAATCGACCGCTGGGGACCCACCGCATGGCCCGGCTCGCCGTTCGATCGACGGCTCCTTCGGCTCCGCAGGACCCGACGGGTAGACGTAGGCTGCCGGAACTTCCGGGGGCTTCGGGGCACTGCTGAGCATGGTATACATGAAGAACCAAACAAGGCATCTATCTACTTGTTGGTAACATCAGGTAGAAGTACACTCCGAACACGTCACTGAAGGAAGTGGACAACCTCCTGTTTTGTAAAAGGAAGACGTCGTCTTCCTGTCGGGGTCATGCCATCCACTTCCATGTGATGTGTTCGTCAGAGAGTAGCTGCCTTGTTTTGGGAGTCTTTCCAGGTGAGTTCCACCGGCGATCGCCCAGCTGCAAGGAGATGGACCCACCAAGCACCGAGATCCTGAGCCGCGGCCAGCCGGCCGTGCGGAGGGAGGGAAGCGGGAAGCGGCCAAGCGAACTGGGCTGGGATGGGTCTGGAGATGCTTTGCTTTGGGTGGATTTCGGATTCATGTGTTTGGTGGACATGCGAAGATCAGGACACACCAACCAGGGATGACTGAACCACCACTTGGTTGAAGTGTCAAATCTATAGCCAAGCATCCCAAGTGAGCAAATGATACAGTAGATGATTGGATCAACACGAAGTGGCTTCAGCGGTACAGAAGCAACCCAGTTGCAACAAACGCATGCAATCGGACCATCTGACACGTTTGGTGGCAAGTCTGGGTGGGGAACTTGAGCCCACTGGACACAACTGAAAGGGGGTCAATATAGAAAATCTATTCCAGTCCCATGGATGGTCTGGGTTTGGATCCATCGATCGATCCTGTGGAATTCCATCGGCCCGTCGACCAGTCGTTATCACTTGCCCGTCCACGCCGCATGTCCGTCCACTTGCCCGTCCAGGACGCTTGCAGCGGCGGCGCTTCAGCGCCGGGATCAAGGGGCGCAAAGCCTCAGGCTGGAAGACCAGGTCCTGCGTCGAGCGTCGAGTCATCGATCGGATCCACCGATGGGAGCGGTGGAGATATTGTCCGAACACACCGATGTACAGGACCAGTTACTGTTTCAATAGGGTCAATTTGGCTGGTACTTTTGGTCATCATATACCTATATGCACATATGCCTCTATTGGTTGTGCATGGCCTACCCTCCATCCAACAAATATGGAAGTGGAACATGGCCCCTTGGAAGTCTGTTTTCCAATTTTTGTCCTCTACTAACGAATACTGAGAGGCCATTTTCCACTTCCATGATTGTTGGAGGAGCAAATCCATCTGTCCATAGGGTCCTGTCTGGTGGATTCATGCCCCTCGATCATGCCCACTACCCTCCACATCTGATACAAACCTACACAGACCCACACTCCCAAAAGTTGGGGCTAAGACAGACCCACACCCCCAAAAGTTGGGGCTAAGCGCCGATATCTCCATACAAAGCCAATCTCCATGTACAAGTATGGCGACATACACTCATCGTCCTTGAAGTTCTCCTCTTTCTCAAAGTCAGAAATGATCTCTGGAGGAGACCTCAATTGAATTGAAGGTGAAGATCGCTGGCAGCACTCTTTCAGGCAAAGAACAACTCTCTTATTGGTGTCTTGTGTCACTTGTGTCAAAGTATGTCAAAGTAAATATAGGGACGTTTAACGTTTCGTGTGCGTTTTTGGGCTTGTAGATTTGCCGCAACAGTCTCAGGCCGGCCTTTAAGGAGGCCCGGGTCAGGAAAACCGGGCGCACCGGTGACCTGCGAAGCTTGGAACAACGGCGCCAGCAAATCCGACCTGTCCACAGTGTGTTGGATCGAAGTCCTTCCGTTGAAAAACCACTTGGAAGCCAAGGGCCGAAAGGAAGTCCGCACTTCCACCAAGCACTTCCTGAGCTGCAACATCTAACCCACCCCGTGCCGAACCGAGCCACCAAGGGCCATCCTCCTCCCGTGTGAGTGACGTCGAGGGGTAGCTGACCTGGACGTAGAAGGCCAAACGCGATCTCTACACCGTCTCAAAAGGTTCGACGTCACAACCATTCAACAAATTGAATTGTAAAACCTCTCCAAATCAGCAGGTATCATGAAGATGTCATAGATGTCTTTATTCATCCACTGGCTACATATGTACATTCTTGATCCGTATAGTGTTAATTCTCATTTCCTGCTTGGGCTTGATCCTTGGTCCTTCCGGTCCGTGCGCCTGGCTCCCTTCTTCCCCCAACAGCTCCACCACACACTCGTCCGAGGGCGTCTGCAAAAGCAATGCCCAGCGCTGCGAGCCTGAGCCGGAGGCTCCCAGCTCCGGATTGGTGAGTCGATGATCCGAATCTTCCCAGCTGGGTCCTACGAAATCCTCCATCTGGGTCGATTTCGATTGTTCGTTGAGGTTTTACGAAATCCTCAAAAAGTCTCCCCAGCTAGAAGAGTATTGGGAAGTGTTCATGGCTTTGGATGACATCCTCGTGTTCGTCACTTCCAAGGCCTTCCAAGAGGTTCCATTATGTTCCATTGGAGGTCCAACCAGAGAACCAATTGAGGCTCAAGCCAACAAGACTCCAAGGATCCCTCCATATCACCAACACGAGTTGAGCCATAGATCACCCCTTTCAGCAGAAGTCGGCCCTTGTTGCGCTTGTTGGGGCTCCGAGGCTCCAAGTGGAGCGACCTCCATGGACTCCCTTCCTCCCTGCCAAAGTCGGCCGAGCGACCCGGAGAGAGCCATTCACATGAAAGTGGCATGGCCCCCAAAAATTACCATGTTCATCCATTTTCCTTCACACACCAGTGGCGAAATCCCACTACTATAAGTCTATTCTACTAAGTCAGTACTACTTAGCTGACTCGCAGTGAGTCACACTGCGGTCTGTACTCGACGCGCCCTCCATTCGTCGTCTCAGGCGCTCTCCACTTGTACCAGATCGCCCACCTTCCACTGCCCGCCACGCGTACCGCCCGTGGACGCCACGGGCGCGGAGGTGTCCACGGCGGTGTCTGGTCCAAGCGTTGACGCGACGGCGTGGAACTTGGAAAGGCAGCTGCAGCGAGCACCTGAGGTGTGAGCAGACCATGTCTGCCGAAAATATCAGGGCACGAAGGGTGAAGGGTTATGGGGGCTGCATGGGTTTGACAGAACTTCGGCTTTGCACCGCGAAGGGTGAAGGGACTGACACATGGGTCGACACAGTGGTGGATAGTGGAGAGCAGGCTGGCAGTGCCGCTAGAGTGAATCCTCTTTAAAAAAACACGATCGCTATCATAATGTATCATACAGAGGGTTCCAAAGAATTGGACCACATATTGTATCAATCCCTTCTATCATATCCGTTCTTCGAACGACGGCTGTTCCCGGAGCTCTGACCGAATCACCGAGCGTTGTCGCCGAGAACATCATATACCAACAGAGGTTGAAGGACCCGAACTAGCCTATTCCAGTTGGGTACCCCAGTAAGGTCCTATTTACGGTCACTTAACCTCTCTTGGAACATCATATATCTCTTACACTCCATGAATACAGCATCAACGGTGGCCCTCTTGCTTTGCCGCCAAAACACATCGAAATGTGGGCGAACACACTGGATACGCAGGACATGCAGCTGTCTCGAGCTCAGTGCGATGCACATGCCGTAAGAAGCCAGGGCAGTCGCAGTTGTTGCAGGCACCACGAGAGAGGCCCAAGAGATCTTGGCACACTTCCATCACAAATCAGCATGGCCTTTGCGATTGGGACCCAATAGAGTAAAGCATTGGAATGATTGAAAAAGGCAGTGGGCTTAAACATGTGCTGGTCCCAATTGGTCTAAAGGATTACATCTCAGCGTCTGTCGTCCTTCATTTTTGTCTCTGAAACAATGCATATCACAGCATCAGCACTCTGGACGGCATAAAGGGTGCAAGCAGGGTGAGGAGACTTACTTTTATATACAGTCTTTGACCTCACAATACAAAACCTTTGATGCTTGATGATGTTTGTACGTACCAATGTGGGAGTGTGCTGCTATTCACCAGCAGCTATGGCCTTATGACAAATTGGTGGCCCATAATCTACAGCAGTTGTTTTGTGTTCAGGGCATCATTGCGTGATGCGAAACCCATAATCTACAATTAAGCCAAACAAATCAAGGCTCCCTAAGGATCCGGACTTTCAAACACAAGGGTGTTATGGTTCGGATTTAACCCCTGCTATGGAGGTGTCGGGTCCAATGAAACAAATCAAGGTCAGTTGATGGAGCGTAGCCTACTAGCACCTGGAGTGGGTTGCAGTGGCAGCGAAAAAGAACAAAACGTGCAGCTTTAGGGGATCCCATGCTTCAAACAATTTCCAAAAAACACTCACTCGAAAGAAACTCCGTGCAGCTTGTCAAGGACATGGAAGAAAATCCCGCGTCAAGTGAGTCAAGTTTTGCTTAACCGCTTCATTTGTCGCACCTGACGGAAGGCTTGAGCCAGGGGGGTCGCAAGGAAACCCACCAAATGCCAAACACAAGTGCACGGCGGTCAGTGCCTTCTCTGAGGACCAAAACCACTCTCGTTGGACGTGAAACAGGGTGGTAGAACCTTCTCCCTCGAAGATGCTTCAAGAGGTTCAGGAAGATGTTGACAACTTCATCTTTCTTAGAAGGTGAAGTTGCCGTGTTCATGTTGTGACATGTTTTTCATTTTATGGCATGGTACACCCATGTTTGACGCTCCTGAGTGGCACACAGTTTCGATCTCTAGCAGTTCTTGAACTCTGTTGCTTTCGAAATCTCCCTTTCGTTACTTCACCTGGGTGTCTCCCTTTCGTCAGCTCAGCTGGGTGACTGAAGCCACGTCAGCTGGGTGACTGAACCTCCGATGAAAGGGGGGCCCAATGACTCGACATGCGCTTGAAGCGGGCTTTGGGGTCGTGCTGGAAGAGTTCTCCATCCCAGAAGCTCCAATTGGTACCTCAAACTAGGGATTGGTTCGGGTCCGGACGCTACGGCCTCTACATTCATGGATTGTACTTAGGAGGGTCCATGATGGTCGGGTCCAGTCGTAACGAACCTGAGGTACGATGAGGTACGGTATGATCCCTAGGGCCAGCTGTCCCGCCTTCAACATCATGCCTAAGGGCTGATCCTTGGTGGAGGGCCCTCGGCGGACCACCACCTGCCAGACGTTCGCGCGGGCGGTGAAGAAGTGACCGATTGCGGTCGAGCCAGGTCACCACCGAGCCCGGTAGACGTGAAAAGGTTCTACAATCCCAATCCCAAACACTCCATGGGACTGCCATATATGCCAACCTTGGGGTGGTTGAAGTCGGGGTCAATGGGGCGGCAGTCCTATGGCAGTCCCACGTGTCGTGTCTGGGAGTCGACACGATCCTCCGTCGAGTCCGCCAGTATTTCAACGTTGACACCTCTCAACCCAGCAATGTCACACTCAAACCAAGTGTTTGCATGTATTCAAAGACAATGGACGCAAGAACCTCAAACATCACCACGCGTCCCTTCCAGCGATTCGCGGGATCAAAACACAACACATCTCTACAAGCGCACCCTTTGAAGGGGTGTCTGTGTATCGCTCTTTAGCAAGCCTTATACTGCAGCGGTTGTAGAAGGGGTTTCCATTTACCACCCCTTGTGAGCCCTGTTCTTTCCGCGTGTTGGTTTAGTCCTATAGCTTTGTTTCTAAAAGAAAGAGGACATCGGCTAACCCGTAGGCTTTGCCGGCCTGGCACCGGCTAGTTTCCTATATGGGGGTGTATGAACCAGCATGCCGCAGCTCATCCGATGATTAACTCCGATGTTTCCGGGGCCCGCCCATCCTTCGAACATCACGACTGCACTCAGTTGGTCTTCCTTCCATGGAAACTGGCTTGCCAACAGAGGTTGAAGGACCCGAACTAGCCTATCCCAGTTGGGTATCACAGTAAGGTCCCATTTACCGTCACTTAACCTCTCTTGGTGGTGCTTGGGGGGACACTTTGTGTTCATGGCACCCCGCTCCGTGAACCGACCTGCTCGTGCTCCACCACCCAGGGCTCTCCATAGGAAGAGAGCTCGGTGATGTGGGTGCCCGTCTCCACCGCCTTATGACGCCTCGAAAGCAAGCGAAGGTCTGTAGGTGAGAAGGATCTGCGAATATCTGGCCTCCAGTCCAAGATCCGGTGCGCTTGCCGCTGGAAGGTCACGAGTTTTGGGGTGATTAAAGAAGAGGCTTCAAGGTGCTTCAAAGAATGAGTCAACATCTGTGTAGATCCAGAATATTTGACATAAAAATACATGAAACCTTTCTAGTGAATGCTAAATCACACAGAGTTCCATCTCGAGTCCAAGGCTAGCCAGCGATCAATTGCTCTGCTCGGCAGGTGCTCGGGATTCCATTGCTACTTGAAGGGCGGCTCATTGGCTCACAAGCCCAGGCAGTCCAGGTATGACATATATCATATGTATATATATATATATGTATATACCATTATTGACACTTGAAACCACCCCAACATGGCTGTGGGTCAAAACCCCGATACCTAGGTTCATCTACCAACGATACTCGTTCACGACATCATGTTAAAGATCCAGATCTTGACCAGCAACATCCGGCAGCCATACATGTAAATCAACATACTACATGATATGGCTCCCTTCGGCGATCTGCACGCTGACCGCCTCAAGAACGTCTCTGCGCCCTCCTCCAGCTTGATGTAGGCTGGCCTGGGCCCAAAATCGGTGAGAAGTCTTTGAGCAATGGAGCACCTTTCTGAAGGTTTGGTGGCCAGCGAGTATTCATCGTCCGACACCACGACCCACCGCGTTCAGTAGTGTGTACCTGCCAACAGAGGTTGAAGGACCCGAACTAGCCTATCCCAGTTGGGTACCACAGTAAGGTCCTATAAGGTCACTTGACCTCTCTTGGTGTGGTTTCTTTGGACGTTGAACTCAGCGTGCAACAACTGAAACATGCTGAAACTGACGACATCTGAAGGTGAAGACATCTGAGGCGCCCTCGGCCTGACCGTTGAACTCGCTGGTTTTGAAGGCCCAACTGTTCGGTGTCTCGGTCCTGTTTGGTTGCACTCCGACGGCAGCTTGAGCAGCGAACGGAGCGCGAGCGAAAACCACGCAGTCCTCAACAGGTGACGAGCAACGAACAATTTGTTGTGGAAGAAAACAAGGAGAACACGTGGTTACTGAATCATGAAGGTTACCAGCATCTTTCAACGAGTCACTATCCATGGCATCCATGGATCCGTTTTTGTGGATTCAACCATCTATATGCAAACCTTTTGAGAAGCTACTAGTACCACCAGGTACCTTTCTAAACCGCCCTGAAACACACACACACACTTCAACAAAAGTCTTGTAGAAAAAACAAAAACATGAAACCATATGAACCCCAAACATTTCCACCTTCACCTGGACCCAGGCCTCAGCCCCCCCAGCCGCTCAGCGCCAGGTTATCACCTGAGGCCTCCAGCTTTTGGAGGCCGCCGCTGGGGAAGGCCGGTGTTTGATCCGGCGCCTTAAAGACCTCTCGGCGCGCGCAGGATGAGTGGCTGGACCAGGGACGGATGGAACGTGAGTGGCCCCACATCGCAGGCACGGATGTGGTGGTGAGAATCAAAGAGATCTCAGAAATAGCAAGTGGTGAGTTTGTCGCTGGTTGGCGTGGCTTCACTGAAAGTGTGGTTGGCTTACCTTCGCTGAACATTTGAACAGCATTGGTGTTGGATTTGCAATTGAGGGGAACTCACATGTTGAGATCAGATCTACAGTGAATGTCTCCCTTGCTTGGCCGTCATTTGCCAGCTCAAGGAGCTGAGTGATGTCTGCATGTTCTCTATGATCTAGAACCCTGAGTGCGCGTTCAAAGCGACCTAGACCGGTCCAGGTTGGGCCAGGGGGCCGACGGCTGTTACTTAAATCGTAACTAGGACAAACCAATACATATATGCCTACATTGATCCCCCTGGCAACACCCAATTGATCGGCAGTCCTATGGCAGTCCCAGACGGGTCGTGTCTGGGACAGGTGCATCTGGTGGATGTGGCTAATCTCAAATGTCCAACACAACCAAAAACATTGTTGAAAAACCTTGGCTCTCCTTGATTCTAGATCGACCAAGTAACGAGGTCCGAGTTTGTTCAATGCTCTTGCCAAGAGGGAAACAATAGAACCGCCATAAGCCGCTATATACGACATGATACTTACATCCAGGGTATGGTCTACCAAAGGACCCGCCGGACCCGCCATCGAATCAGCTGACAGTCAGCTGTTACTTAGCGCTTCGCGCTTCTTCGCTTCGGCCGCCTGCGCTCCGAAGGGCACGTGAAGCCAGCGTGTTCCACCGTCGCGGAAGATCCTGACCCGAGCGAGCGAGACACTGACGTCGGAGATGACCGGGCGAGACACAGGCGGCACAGGCGGCGGGTCTCCCATTTGGTGTATTGCCAGATTGAGATTTGGCCTGAAATATCCTTCCAAAAGGTGAAACTGACTGGGAAGTCTCATGAAGTCTCCCTAGTTTATTACACCCTAGCTGAAATAGATAGTAACATGACTTTGTTGTAGCGTGGCATGTCTTAGCGATTGAACTGGACATTGTGTCCAACAATTTGGTGACCACTATCATGTCCTCCCGAGACCTCATACTCTCCCCAAACGATTCCAATCCAGGATGTTGCACATTCATGGCACAGAACACACACCTTCACACCAGTGATGGGCAGTGCCTGTCTCAGGCTGCGCATCGAATCAAACCCTGGCTGCAC